GGCACCTACACCCACCTGCCAGACTCAAGTCACATCAGGCTCCTGGACTATCTGTTGGCCATCATTACTTGAAAAGTGTGTGAATTTGCAAGAACATGTGAAGCAACAACAATAAAAACAACCTCATCCTTCTAAACATTAGAAATGCAGGAAATCATGTCTTAAAGTTGCAATTTTCAGGGAAACCTCTTACATTCTTTCAGCTGCATCTGCAAATGTAGCTGAATAATACGTTCTTGACACATTAAGAATGAGCCAGAGTTCTGCTGATGCTGTAAGGAAAAATCGGAAACTGTCTGTAATGTTACCATGCCTGTAATGCCAAGTATGGTCTTTATGTCCCTCCTCCCCATACTAATGTTTTTATGATTTTGTACAAGTGCTCAGATTCAAGCCCCCAGTAGGATTCTCCTGGCAGGCAGAAATCAATGCAGCTGCCTCTTGCAGTTGCTGGTAAACAGGTAGTATTGGTCACAGGACACTGGCAGGGGAGCTGTGTGAATGGTGAGTTATACTCCCCATTTATGACCTCTTGGGAGAACCACAGCCATCTGGAACAAATTAGAGCAAATGGCTTTAATGAGTTCAAGACACAGAGTAGAAAGTCAGTGCCCACCAAACAGTGGTATAGCTGGAGGGAAACCTCAGTGTCAGCAACCTCAGCTTTCATCTAAATGTTAGCTGCTTTGCACGGTAGTAAATTAGTAATGCAAGGGATGGGAGAACTAGCAGAACCATCCCAGCTTGTAAACTCTGCAGGTGTGAGAGAGAGTAAAGGATTAGCCTGTGCCTGTTAGTTACTCACATGTGGGTGGGAAAGCAACACAATTCACTGAACCTATGGCTAACTGTGTAACACATTTGTGTGTGAATGTTTATGAATGTGCATATAGGGAGAACTATATAAGCATATATAAATATGATTAGTTGTGTTTGAATGTTACACTTTACCTTGAATTTTGATGTTGATTATTGTTTTCTAACCAGGATTTTGTTGAGCAAGCAGAAAATGCTGTGTTTCAGGATAGTGGGAGATTATTACAACAGTTTTATCATAACAAATCTCCAGAAACCAATCTTGACCTTATTTTCCAGACTTTGGACAAAATAAAACTGAAGCACTTCACAGCTACATGTTAAGTGACAACTTTGCAGAATAATTTTTCAATAAATTTTGCCTAATTGGCTATGACTATATGTGTACCTTCAGGTTATTTGTGTTTTTCCGTTATCTGCATTTTCCATTTAAGTGTTATAAACAAGCTAATAGTGCTTCATATGTTGCTCTCATCACAGAAAATGTATGCTTTATTTTTGTGAAGGTGTTAATTCTCTTACTCTCCAGGTTTTTAGTGGGCCTGCAGGAAAGAATAGTTCTGGTTTTGATTTATTTCAAAATGAGCTTGCTGAAGGCTGGATTCAATAATATAATCCATTTGTCTTAAGCACTGCAAAGGCTCATGCCAAAGCCCTGAAAATCAATTTTTGAAAGACAGAGAGAAGTTGCATAGCTGTGCAGAGGTTTTAGCACTTCAGGACTGTGAGGATTATATTTTTTTTTTTCTTGAACTGTTCTCTAAATGATTATAGATTTTGTTTGTTTGTTTTAATAGGATGCTATCAAGTATTTAAGGCTCTAAATGTGGACCCCATAGGCAGAAAAATGTAGAAGATGTTTATAAACCCAAATAGGAACATGTTTCTGAATTTAAAATAAAATCAGCCCGAATAGGAATATGATTCTGTATTTAAAATAAAATCTGATCAAAGCCGATTGGTTAGAATTTAAGATCTCTCCGATAGAGCTGGAAATAAAACCTGAACTGGGATGTGACATTAACTAGAAATAGTTTAATGCTGTGCTTCTCTGCTGACAAAATGCAAAATACGAGTGGCATTGCTATCAAAAGAAGTAAATCTGGAACTAAATTTAGGGATGATCTGAAAAGGCTGATAGCAGAGCATGCATGCAAAGATTAAAAAAAAAAGGGGGAAAAAAGGGGGGGGGGGGGGGGCGGACACAAATATTGGGCGGGATATTTTTGTCTCAGTGGCATTGCCTTGACCTCAGGCAGTGCTGCCTCCCCTCTGGCACGACTCCTGAGGGTGGCCTCTGCCCCCACACAGGGACCCCCCAGGGCTGAGGCCTTGCCACCCAACCCACCGGGAACTGTGTGCCCACTGGCCTGTCTGAGCGCAGCCATCGGCCCTTGGGGTGTGTGCGTGAGCCCCCACCCAGAGAGGAGGAAGGTGCGCCCTGAGGGCTGGCGGCCATTTTAGGGGTTGAGGTGCTCTGATGGCTTGAGGCGTTGGGGCTGTTGGGGCGTTGCTTGGTCACCAGCGGAGCTAGTGCCATCTAGGCAGGTTTAATCCAATTATAGAGGTTTATAAAGGTGTTCATGTGTGAAATTGTTCCCAGATTTGCGATGCAAGTTTAAGAATGAGAATTGGGGTCCTTTGAGTTATTCAGCCCTTTCCTCAGCCAGAGAAACTGATGTCCTGTGAGACAAATTGATCCCAGATTTGAGTAAAGCCTGACTGTGTAATCGTGAAAAGTAAACAGGGAAAGTCTCATGGATAATATTATGCAAAGTACAATGAAGGAACTAAAGTATGTTTCTGATTTTCAATACAACAGGGAATATCTCAATGGTTCCTGTTTTCATTTGCTTCTGTGGAACAAAGTCTTAATGTTCTATATGTGTATTAGTTATATTCTAAATAAGCCCTTAAAATGTTAACATTCAAGTGGATTTGCTTGAACAGAATAGAGACACGTTCTATTCGTTGGAAGACTTCACAATATTTGGTGATAATAAAGCTGAAAAATAATTTAAGTAGACTTTCATTAAACATGAGAGAACTAATCCGCATTTCAAGATAGATTTGCATGGGTTTGAGGAAGCTTTTGTGGTTGAAAGAAGGTGAAAAAGAAGCTCAAAAGTAAAGAATTATACAGCAGTGAGACTTTAGAAAGCCACTAGGAATTTAATTCTATAAATCCTGTAGGATTTACACAGGGCAAGATTTCAGGTGATGAAAAGTTTTTGTTGCCCTATTGTAGTCACAGTGCAAGTCTGAAGTTTTACATTTTCAAATTGCATTCCTAGATGCAAAAATCTTATCTGAATGGAAATCTGTCATCATGGGTTAACCATAAATGCATGTTAGGTTATGCTGCTGTCTTCCCCACAACCTCCTCAGGTGTCTGGTATAATGCCCAGTGCTGAAGACAGGCTCCATACAACGCCACTACTTGAGAGCAGGTGAGATAATAGACTACAGTGCCATTTTAAGGCAATGAAAACTTACATTATATAGAAGGCATAGTGCAAGACTTTCAAACCATGAATTTATATGAATTTATTTTCACCCCCCAGAACAGCAAGTCTATTTCTGGGTATGTCAGATGGAGGGAGAGGACATGAGGTGGCACATATGCCACCCCACACATGGCTGCATGCAAGGAGATTTGCTTGAGAGGTGTTGAAAGCCTGTTGTTGTCTCACATGTGTAATAATGATATTTTGGACATAATGCATAAGTGCACATGGTATGCACTTGTCCAGGACCTCCAGACGCCAATGACAACCCTTCAACTTGTTGAAATGTTAGTATTGCTGTGTCCTGTTGTTTGAAATGGATCTCTGTTTCATTTGTGATCCTGCAGACGGATGGATATACATGAAGCAAATGAACATTTTTAGATCAAAAGTAAACCTATTCATGCACAGTGTAAGACTCTCTCACTAGAGGGATTTTACAAATAAGGTGGGGCACCTTTTCATTCTATGTCCCTTGTATAAGTAAGATGGATACCATGTAAAAGATGAAATTTAGCAATATATTTGCTAAATTACTATTTTTTTTCCATTTTTAATTTCCAAGTGATAACTTCTAGCAAATACACATTTTTAGTAGTTGCGACTGTGTTTGTAATGCTTTAAGAGGCATGAATTGTAGCATTAAATGGAATTGCATATAAATAATGAAAATTGACATTATAGTTTGCCTAAAAAGTAACTAAATGGGGAATTCATCAATATATATCATCTTAGTTGTGCCTACAGCTTGTAGAATGAATAATTTATATGATTAGTTTAGTCTCTTTCTGTTTGTGCATCATCAATAATTAGATTGTATTTTCTTAACAGTTTTCATGTTTATTTAATAAAACATCTTTTGAGCTTTTATCTCAAAGAAGAACTGCAAATTTTCAAAAATTAAGCTGTGCTACTTAGCTGTGCTTGGTCATATAAGCAAAATCATAGTGCTTTATTAATTGGATAAAGTTGCAATTGTTTCCAAAACAGGTCTGTGTATATGAATTTGCCATTCTATTTCCGTGAATACTCATACATTATTTTCAAATTTATCTTCTATTTATGCTAATAAAACTCAAATACCTGAATATTCTAAAGGAATGCTAAAGTGTCCGGAGAAAGTCAAGTAGGTGATTTTAAAATCTAAAACAAAACATTGGTGGTACTTTGAGAAATTAAGAAGAAAAATGGCAATAAACTTAACACAGTGGACTGGGCATTTATTCAGTCATTTCCTCACTAGTATTAAAATTGAAGAAGTACTGAAGATATAATAAAGAAAATGTTGACTGAAAAAAATGAGTTACTGTAAGCCTTCTGAATTATACAGAGAATTCTGAATACATTGTGGAGAAGATGATAAATTCTCTGTTGAGTACAAGTGTGACTCTACTGCTCTCTCACCCTTCTGTTATTTTCCTTCTTCTTAGGAGAGGATTTCTTTGTATTATTCTCTGCTTCTGTAATTTATTGTGTGATTTAGCAGCTGGGTCTCTGAAACAACCCTAACAAACCTGAACAACTTCATAATATGGTACCAATAATAATATATTTAACAGTTGCAGAGGTTTTTTTTTTTTTTTTTTTTTTTTTTTTAAGGTTAGGAAACTTTAACTAAGTTAGAGGTTATAGGGGAAAAAAAAAAAAAAAAAAAAAAAGCTTTTATAACCCAGACCCTGCAATATCTGTTATTACAGATGACTATATATACATATATAAGTGTATATATACATGTATTTCCCTAAGGTCCACTTTACAGTGGATCTTGACGTCAATGAGTCTTGACAACAGCTCAAAAATGAATCTGCTGGGATGTTTTTGATCTGGAACTATACTGAAATCACTGCAGTGTACGGATTTATGGGTTGACCTACAAATGGCTTTACTTGTAGAATTTTACCCTATGTTTTAAAACCAAAACTCTTCTAGCCATTTCAGAATTTACTGAGGCTTCTGCATAAATATTTAATTAGGTAAACATCTGAAATGCAGATATTTAAGGAAGCTAATATTTTATTTTACATCATTCACTCAGGTATAATATGGGCCAACAATGGGACACAATGGCCATTAACTTCATACTTTTTCTACAAACCTCATCTAAAGGACGCAGTGAGGGAAGGATAATTCACAGCGGGGATACCTTTGATTTCCTCAGATGCCACTTCATATCAGAAAATTTTAAACATCAGGTGGGTTTGATTGACTATTATACTACCAGAGAGGTATATCACAATTAGGAAGCCCAGAAACAAATGCAACTGTTTCCTGGTCAATGAAGCATGAGATTAAAGGCTGATGTCCAAATGTGAGAATCCAATTAGCAAGATGATTTATGTCTGTGGTACAAAAGTAAAATGCTGCTATTTATGTTATGAATTCTAGCATAGTGGGGTTCTCTTACATGTAAATTACAGAAAGATTTATTGTGAGTAATTAAATATGTATCTGGAATAACAGTATATTGTGTTATAAAGAAATGGCTCATGAGAAATGCAGTACAGAAGTGGTGCTTGTTCTATCACTTTCTGTTGTTTTCCACACTCAAAAATGCATACCAAGGCCTCTAGTGATGTACGATATTATGAATACTGCAGTTTCATAATTTCTGATAGTTTTGGGGATACTCTGACTCAGTAGCTACACAGTAAAAGAAGACACAGAGTAGAAAATTCAATCTGTATAAAGAATACACAGTAGGAAGAGCCTTTTCTTATGCAGATGTTTGCAGTATGAGACTGCTGCATTTTGCAATGGTAACCAGTTCGTGGTAGTGCACCAATTCTTTGGATATTACTGTGGTCTGTCTCCCAGAATTAAGCCAAATAAAGGGCAAATAGTACATTCTTCATTTAGGGGAAAAAAACTTGAAGGCTATGGAGTAATTTAGAGAGGTTTATTTCACAGTTCATTTATTTGGATAATTGGGATTTTACAAAAGGAGTTTGGGGAAATGTATTAATTTCTTTAATATGACTTAATGTGTACAGTTTTATGATTTTTCTCACTTTATGGAATAATGCACCTTTCCGATTTCCGTTTGGTGACTCCCCAGAAAGTGTTTATGACTCCTTAGGATCATAGCCAAGCTGGGCAGGTCAGATTCTAAACATGTGTCCACTGTCTGCATATAATAATGCATGAGAATGGAAAAAGAGGACTGTGCTGTTAGTTGTGGAGACTACAAACCCGTTTTTGGATGACCATGAAGTATCATGGATTCACTCCTCTATCCATCTTAGTAGAAACATGAGATGTATATTACATGATACACATATGTTGAAAGAGAGGGCATAATTGAGGATAGATGCTAGTCTTTCAAACAGTGTAGGGAGCGTGCATTTATATGTACTTATGTTAAGTTGACCTGGACACCAAAAGTACTGACATCAACCAGTTGGGACACAAAAGCCCAGTATGCGTAGTGAGCCCCACTGAATAGCTGTTCTTATTACTTTGAACAGCAGACGTTAAATGTGATTAAATACCTTGCTAAATGTGACTACAGAGATTTTCAAACCATATTTGTTCAAGGTATTGTGAAAAGAAGTCTGTCTAAAGGAGTAAGTAAACATATTCCATATTAAGCAGACTCTATGTCAACTAACCTTGGCCTTGTGATTTCTTTTTGTCATTGTTGCCTTGATCTTACAGTCATATAATTAAGTGTTCCTAATTATCAGCTTATAAAAGGGGACTTTGAATGAAACTGCTGAGAAATTTGGATGAGGAAATAGCATAATTGTATGGTTTCATTGTTCTTTGTTCTTAGCAGTGCTTGCTTCTTCCCCACAACCTATCACTGTGTGGTCACTTTCCTTCATTGCAAGATGCTGTTCTCATCTTGTCATGACATCTGCTTGCAGTCTTTGTTATGGATTTCACTGCAATGTCATTCTTCCAGATGCTGCCAAAGGCTATTATTCTGGGGGGAAAAGTCTCTTTAAAAAAAAAAAAAAAAAAAAAAAAAGAGCCAATTCAGAAGATGCAAACATGAAAGAGAGATGAAAGAGAGCATTAGTGATCATAGTCATTTTTGAGTTCTGCTTTGCTAGACTCCTTGTTTTTATAGCATGAAACAAAACTTCATTATAGATCATGTGGTTATTATAACCTCTCCTGACACTGTTTGCTATTTTCCAGTATTATGGCAACATTTTTCAGTGAACAAGAGCCTCCTGGAAGTATTCATAGCATCAGTACTAGTCACCACAGTACTGCTCATTCTATAAAGCTGGCAGAGAGCAAGCTCCATTTCTTTCTCTCCTGTAACTTCCTACCTAAAACAAACCAATTAAAAAGCCAAAACTTTGCAGTGAAAGTTTCAGATTTAGTGGTAAGTTTTTACACTGCTTTAACTCTTCCTGTTATAATTTAGGAATTCTACTCAAGGGAAGAGATTGAGAAAGTGAGTTTCAGGTGGAAACAATTACAAAAATACAACAATTTGCACACTGAACAGTCTTGACCTTATAGATGGCCCCTTTTCTGTTGCGGGTACTACTTGCAGTATTCACTACAGCTTATGAAAAAAGCATAATACAGAGAATGACCTGGTTCTTTTTTAACCCTGTCTTTCCTTTGCTTCTTTATCTCTGGGACTTCATACTTTCAAAAACCTCCTGCCTTAACTGCAACTACAGTTTTCGAAATTCCCTCTAAATAATTTCCTCTGTTAAAAAAAAACAAAAGCAGGTTTTCTTTGCATATAAGGTACATGGATACATGTCTATGCAGAAAATTTTCTAAACTCCCACTTAAGAGGAGGACAAATGAAAAGATATTGGGGAGGAAGCATAAAATCATAGGGGACACAGAGAACAGACTTTCTGGATTTAACCAAATTATAAAAATCTTTGCAATGTGTGTGTGTGTGTGTGTGTATATATATATTTTTTTTTTTCTCCCCAAAAGGTTCAGTTAGGTATTCCAGACTTCCAGACTGTCTAGTGTTGTAATATCTATGTTGTAGTCTATTTTCTTAATTTCCTAAGATCTTTGCTATTTCTTGAGATGCAGGAAAAAATTGGTGAATTTTAAAATTTATACCCTCTCTCTCTCTCTCTCTCTCTCTCTCTTTTTTTTTTTTTTTTTTTTTTTATTGAATAAATCTTCCTGACGGGTGAGGAAATAGCTATCTCCCTGCTGTGGATATAAAAGATACGCCCATCTTTGTACTGAACCTCTAGATCTTATGTATGTTATCATAATAGACTTTTACAAGTGAAACATGGAATAAAGCTTTCAGCAAATCTTTATTTTAAATGCTCTGGCTTTTGAAACCTAAAGTGAGTGTAAAAGTAATGAAATGCTTTATACTCAGCTTTAACACTGGGCAGTAATAATGGAAAGGAAATATTGCTGCATTCAGCCAGGTATTTCAAATTTAGAATTATTTATGCTAGGCAGGGAAAATAAGAGCTGAAAAGGTAGTTTAGAGATAGCTATGATTTTACTAGAAGAATTTGCTTTTCAAGGTTGTTTATAGAAGCTAAGCTGATATTATTATTATTTTTAAAAAACATTTTACAGAACAATGATGGTTTTCAATACTAACTGGGAAATTCCAACTAGTTACAGCTCCACTGTAGGGCCAAACTCCAAGCTCTGTGTAAAGTGTGCATCTTTCTACCAGACCATATCAGCTTTGAAAAGTCTTTAACCTCTTGAAGTAATTTCTATAAATCCCAGCATGAGTAGTTTGAACTGCTGTTTCCTGGAAGTTCACAGTAATTTCTTTCATTTATTGAGATGTTTTACCACTTTTCTGTCCTGCAGGAAAAGCTTGCTCTCTTCTTAGTCTGCTTGACATCTAAAGGATGTGATATTGGACAGTTATAAATGAAGCTTTGGCTTGAGGGGAGACATCAGGCTGACTGAGGTTAGTCCCATCCAACAGTCTGCTACATAAAAACAGAGCTGAATTAATGTAGATTTGAGTAGCTGGAGTTGTTCTACATCATTTCTGAAAACTAACATATACATGTTTTATTTCATGGGGCTTTACATCTGAAAATACACAGAATAAAATGACATAAAGTTCCACTAGGGGAGGCTTAGGTTGGATATTAGGAAAAATGTCTTCACTGAAAGGGCTGTGAAGCATTGGAACAAGCCGGTCACTAGCCCTGGAGGTGTTTAAGAGATGTGTAAATGTGGTGCTTAGGGACATAGTTTAGTGGTAGGCTTGGCAGTGCTAGGTTAACGGTTGGACATGATGATCTTAGAGGTCTTTTCCAACCTCATTGATTCTATGATTCTATGAGTACCATGAAATGACAGTGTCCAGTATTCAATAAGGGTCGGAGATGCAAAACACCCCTTGTTTGTTTAACTTATTAAGATCAACAGACATTTTGCCACTCACATCCACTGTGGTGATATCCCCTGTCAGACAGAATACTCACCATAAGTTGTAATTTTTTTGTGAGCTTGCTGGGTTACACTGTTTCTTCAAATTTTCAGTCATCCATAGCAAACCAAAACATTATCAAATTTGTTGTCAAATGAATATGCAATGATGCACAAAGAATGTATTTTAGATCCCAGATTGTTAGGAGATTATTTAGGCTTACAAGGACTAATATGACAGCAAGCTCTTTCACATCTGTCCAGAAACTAATGGTATTTTGAAGTGATGCTTCAGTATTCCTGTATGGTTTTTTGCCTAACAACACATGCCAATAGTGCCTTTCCTACTTCTGCAGATATTCAGAATGCATTGTTTAGATGACCATAGCCACAGACTACTGGAAAATGTGAAACAGATGCATAAAAGAAATTAAAATGTTCAACAATAGTGAAAAACAGCACAGGTTAGCATATTAGAAGTGTCATATATAAGAAAATATAAGCTTAAAATTTCTAATGCTCTTTTTGCTAATAGTGTTGCTCTATAGACAAATTGCAAAGACAAAAAAGACCAGAACTCCAGAAAAAAAAAAGCCAAGAAATAGTCCTAAATATTTAGCTCCTTTGACAGGCAAGTTTATTTTTGTGTCATGGACTACTTCATAAATATATGTTAAATTTCCTTGATAAATTTTGCTTTTATATGAAGCATTATGTCTTCTTCAGTCTTAGCTTGAGCTGCAATCCTAACTCAGGCTAACACGTAGATTCTGTAAAGGTGTGGAGATAGCTACAAATGAAGAACATCACCGTTCATTGCTAGGTAGTGTGGCACCCCAAA